GGAAGACTATACACTCATATTACAACTCACAGATGAAACTCCTTCCTTTATATAATTGAAAAAATATTTTTATACAATATATATTGATTATGCTTTTCCTCTCCCCCAGTTTCTCCCATGAAACACTTTTCTAATTTAGGGGGGTGGGCTGCTGAGATGGTTCAGTGGGGAAAGGCGCTTGCCAGCAAGCTTGATGACCTAAGTTCGATTCCAGTACTCACATGTGTACCAGGATTTTTCTTCTGGGCCACCAACCAGCTCCCGAATCATGACATGGAAACTTCTTATTATAAGTTATGAATGCTTGGCGTAGCTTAGGCTCATTTCTGGCTAGTTCTTTTACCTTAAATTAACCTGTTTCTCTTTATCTTTTTTTTTTTTTTTTTTTTTTTTTTTTTTTTTTTGAGACAGGGTTTCTCTGTAGCTTTGGGGCCTGTCCTGGAACTAGCTCTTGTAGACCAGGCTGGCCTCAAACTCACAAAGATCTACCTGCCTCTGACTCCTGAGTGCTGGGATTAAAATTGCGTGCCACCACCTCCTGGCTTTTATTTATCTTTTGCCTGGAGGCTTTTTACATTTTCTTTCTGTGTCTCTTAAGTTCACGACTTTCCTGGCTGCCTGGCTGCTTGCCTCTGGTGTTTTCCTTTTTTTCTCACTTGTTCTCCTCTCCTTTTCTCTCTTGCCTAGATTTCTCCTCCTGTTTTCCTCCCTGCCTGCCATTCCCACCTCTCTCTCCTCTGCCTAGCTATTATTGGGCATTCAACTTTATATTAGACCAGTCAGGTGCCTTAGGCAGGCAAGGTGAAACAGCAACACATCTTTACATAACTAAACAAAGGCAGCAGAAACAAATGTAACCCATCCTTACCCCGTTAACAAAGGCAGCAGAAACAAATGTAACAATTGTAATAACACCTTCATACTGTTAAAGTAACACTCTGCAGCATAAACAAACGTAAGACATCTTTACATCGTTAAGATAATATTCTACAACACATGGAGGAAGGACAGACTGACTCCTGAAAGTTCTCCCCTGACCTCCCTCATGTGCTGTGGTGCTCACATGCCCTGCCCCTACACAAATGTAATTAAACATTTAACTTATTAGGAGACAAATACTTTCTCAGGCACTTTTGTTTATAGTTCTATGACTACTAGTGGGTATAACATTTCTTCCCCAAATCTCCATTGGTCATCATATTTCTTGTATGATTTGCTGTTATGACTCACATATAAATGCATCAGTGTCCTTTGAAATCCTGTAAACGCTCAAACCGCGTCAGCCAGACAGCACAAAGGAGAGACCCTTCACACAAATGGATGTCTATGTTTCCGCATGAACAGGCATAGTTGAGAGTGTGTTTTCTAGTAATAAGTTTAGATGGAAGTGTGGTTCCAAATGCAGTTGGCCTCTAGGGACTAAAAGGTCCTGGGGGAACTGACAAGGTGACCCAGAAACAGAGGCTTTCTAAGGCAAGCAATGAAGTCATGCCCAAACCTAGCCTTCTTCTCTGCGCCTCAGAGAGTTTTTCATTGGCCAGTGTTTGAATCACCTTTGGCACAGCCTTTATAATGCCATCCTTTTTTTGGAACCACAGAGGAAAAATACAACCCATCCCTGTGTGAAACCACTACCCAGACGGTAATTAGAGAATTGTTCACCTGGACGGTGATATTTGTTAATGAGCCTTTCTGTAATTACCACCCAGTTTTTACCAAGTGTGAGCCTCAGTTAGGAGAAACTGCCATGGTCTCCTAAGAATGAAATTATAGAATGTTGGAGAACACAGGCCAGAAGTGTCAGTTCGTTGCCAGAGCGCTAATGCGGCGAGTCACTGGCTGGAATCTGGCGTTTGATTGGGCCTCAGAAAAGCCTCTCTCAAATTTGCTTTGGGAGGCTTAGGGATTCATCTCACCAGCCCAAGAGCTTCCAGCTCTGACCGAAGAAAGTGGAAGGATTTTTATTTCATGATCAAAAGTGTTTACAACTTTTTTTGTTTGTTTTTTTGCCTTAGGGGTGAAAACTCAGAACAGCCTTCCATGAAGCCTGGGATAAATGAATGTGCTGTCCCTTTGTATCCGACTGATGATCTTCATCAGCACAGACACGAATCAGTATCACATTCAGGTAATAAATAATTATGCGCTCCTTGCTCTGTCAATAACTAATTACTTGACTATGTTAACAGAACCAGCCTTCAGGTGCACGGCTATTTAGGTTCGGGAGAGCTGATGGGGTGTGATTACATTGACCTTTACAGTAATTTATCCAAGTCAAGCTCTTCACAGCCCCAGCTTGTGAACGGGGAGCTCAACAAGCCCCACCCCTTTCCCTTAACCTTGGGAAGTGGATACGTCAATACGAACCCCGCTCCAGGTGCGCGTGCCAATAATTAAAACCTTGGCTTGGCTCTGCAGGAAAGATATGTAAACTGTTCCAGGCTGGGGCTGTGAATTTATTACCGCCTTCCCTAATCAATTGTAGACATCCTTAATCCTGTGTCATCCTGACAGCAGAGCCGTCAACGGCAACCTGATGAGAGTCACAAGGTGCAGAGGGCTGAAAGTCATTCATCTCCCCCGGCATGCGTGTGGACGAAGAGATCCTAGAAATACCATCGGATTTTGTACCCCCACACACCTTCACATAGACCACACACATTACTCCCCTCCCACACACATGCGCACTCCTGCACATACACACGAGCATGAACTCATGGGGAAAAAAAGAAAAAGAGAAAAAGAATGACAAAAGACAAAGTAAACACAGCTATGAGCTACTGTCCCATAATAATTAGTTAACAGCCACGGATGGGCGCTTTGAATAGCACACATGATGTTGCAGCTAAGATTCTATTAAATAATTTCCACTGAATGATTCTTAATCGTACTGAACAAAGAATTTTTGTTCCTGTACAGCCTAGAGCTGCTTCTGTTGCTTAGCAATGGGCTCTACCATGCCATCACAGGTTTGGGGTTTTCCCTTCCAAGGCACAGCACACCCCAGGTATTTCCAGACCACTGTACTCCCATGAAAAAGAACCCATAATCATTCTGCATTTAATCTAGCAAACAAAACTCCTCAAGGCCACACACTTTCTTTTGAGGCTGCTATAAATTCACCGTCCTCTTTTTTTTTTTTTTTTCAAAGTGGAAACTGTATCCTCTCTCTGTGAAGTAACTTGGGGACAGACTGACCTTTGAGACCAAGAATCATCCGTCGGCTAACACAGGTACAGAGTTGGGGGCTAGGCATCTTTGTGCAGATGCAAGAGGCATCTCACACAGGGTCTTTGAACACGCTTTGTATGCTGTAAAGTCACAACCATAAGGTACGGACGGTGTCTCCTCTGTGAACTCTGTGATGCTTAGAAAAGATTAACTTGGGGAGAAAAAGCAAACTGTATGGGACAGTATGCTATTAGCTGCTAGATGACAAAGCATTCAAGGAAAGGCTTTTTAAGGATCCTGAGAGGGTGGAAGGGTAAGGGAAAGAGCCCGTGTTAATCAAGTGCCTCCCGTGCAGTAGGCACTTCAAATGGACGGTCTCTTCCAGTAGTCGTAAGAGGACCTCCAAACCACCACTGCCATCCCTCTTCATTTTCGGGAGAGGACAGGAAGTCATAAAGGTTAATTGGCTCGCTTGTAAACAAACCCAGGACTGGCGAAACTGGAGAGCCCTGGAGAGTGGAGCCAGATGAAGGTCCTCCTGCCCGCGCTGCCCCTTCCCACAGCTCTCATTCCATTATTCGTAAGCGCAGGGCTGAATTCCAGGTGGTGTGGTCCTCAGAGGACACAACTCAGCTTCAGTTCAGGCTTCGGGACCTTTGTGAATACCCATCCTTTGGGCCAACAGGAAGTCCCCTGGGACACAGGTAAAGGAAGAAGGATTTCTTTTGATACGGTCTTTGAACAAAGAGGCCTGTGGAATGGTACGAGATTTGTATAGACATAGTCTGACCCACAAAAGCACAACTACTATTTTGACGGCAGTCGAATCTCTTCCAACCTCACTGGTTCCCATTTCTGGCCCAGCTATCTTTCTCCTTGATTGCCTTCAGAACACTCTGGCCTCTTCTGAGGAAACCTTTCCTTGAATTTTATCTCCTACCCTGCTGTAAAGACTTTCCAAGTAACAGGGCGCTTATCACCCCAGACACCCCGACACAATGCCCCAAGGTCCAGTATCACTTAGGAAAACAGAAGATAAGTTGTTTTCTTCCAAGGAGAAAAAGATAAGACTTGGGTGGGGAAGGGTCCCTCACAGCACCAGGCTGGGCTTAGGGAGTGCTCTGCCTTCTTTTATGGGCTGGGTCGGAGCAGGAGACACAGAAAGGGCTCCTGTATTTCTCAGGCAAATACAGTTGATTATCTTCATGGGCCCTGGAGACAGGAAGGACAGAACTCCATCATGGCCGTGTCCACACCATTTCTAAGGAACATTTGTACAATGCATGTGTGTATCAAGAAGTGAAATGATTGTTTTAGGTGTGCATTTGTGCATGTGTGTCTGTGTGTATATATGTGTACCTTGTGTAGGTCATACCATAAAGTCAGGTGTTAGTCTTCAATTTCCACCTTGTTTTTCTGTTTTATCAGGCCAACTGGCATGAGCTCCCAGGGAATCTCTGCTTCCCATCTCTCGGGTGTGCTGGGATTACTAGTGCTCACTTTGGTTTTTGGGATTCGAACTTGGATTCTCACACTTGTACGGCAAGTGCTCTTACCGACTGAGTGCTCCACCTAGCCCCTGCTAGGTTTAGTTTTGTGCAACATTGCCAACTGTCATGAGAACCTGTCATACACACAAACACAAACCACAAGATACTAACTGTAATTTCTGTGATTGCATGTACCATTTAAATGTTTTTATATTGGTTTTTCTTTTTATTTATTCTTTTCTAATACAATACATCCCAACTGCAGCCTACCCTGCCTCCACTCCTCCCAGCACCCTCCTCCCTTCTCCCTCAGATCCTCTGTTCCTCTTGTTCCCTTCAGAAAAGGGCAGGCATCCCAGGGATATCAAATGAACACAGTTAACAAGTTACAAAAAGACCAGGCACAAACCCTCATATGGATGAGGCAACCCAATAGGACAAAAAGGGTGCCAAAAGCAGACAAGAGTCAGAAACACCCCACACTCTGCACTGTTAGGAATCCCACAGACACCCCAAGCTAAACAACTATAATATGTATGTAGAGGACTTAGCTTAGACCCATACAGGCTCTGGGATTGCCACTTCAGTCTGTGAGCCCTTATGAGCCCTGCTTAGTTGATTCTGTGGGCCAGGTTCTCCTGGTGTCCTCAACCCCTCTGGCTCCTACCATCCTTCATCACTCTCTTTTCCACAGGGTTCCACAGGCTCTGGCTAATGTTTGGGTGTGGCTCTCAGCACCCGCTTCCGTCTGCTGCTGGAGGAAGCCTTTCTGATGACATTGGGCTAGGCACTGATCTGGAGTTCTGGCAGTTGGCTAGGCCTCTGGTCAAGCAGGGGGCTTCCATCTGAGTTGTGGATACGGTTTATATTGGTATTTATGAAACACTACCACAGAATGAAGAAGAATGGTAAGATTTATGCTCGTAATTTTCTTTTGAAGTGCTTGGGATTGAATCCTGGGCCACCATGCTTGCTGAATATGCACTCTACCACGGGGCTACAACGTCAGCATAATTTACAGAGAACGGCTTCCTATTTTAACATGTTTGCTTACGCTTTTTTTCCTTGCTTTTTTAAATAAAAGGACTGAGGGAATAAAAAGAAATGAAGAAGGAAGGTCCTGAGGGCTCCTAACTAGGGTGGAGGAGAAAGTTTATTGTAGATAAAGGAAAAACATAGCCAGAGGCAGAGACACTTGGGGAAGGTCAGAGTGAATGTGACCCCCAGCCAGGAGGGAGAAAGGGAGGTGGTGGTGGTGGCGGTGGTGGGGAGTCAGGAAAGTAAAGGCTGGTGTCTCGGTTAGGGTTTCTATTGTTATGAAGAGATGCCATGGCCAAGACAACGCCTATAAAAAAGACAGTGGCAGCTTACAGTCCAGAGGTTCAGTCCATTATCAGGAGAGAAGCAGGCAGACGTGGTTCTGGAGAAGGAGCTGCTGTGTGGAAGCCGCTGACTCACTGAGTGTGGCATCTCTGAGCCCTCAAAGCCCGCCTCCACGGTGACGTGCTTCCTCCAAAAAGACCACGCCTACTCCAACAAGGCCACATCTCCCATTAGTGCCATTCCCTTTGGGGCTATTTTCTTTCAAACCACCTCAGGTAGACAAAAGAGGCTGGGTAACCAAAATGATTGGATTATATAGGGCAGAGCTTCTGCTGGAAGGGCCGCCCAGTTCCTGTACTGGAGTTTAGGGGAGGATGCCCGGGTCGGGACTGAGGGATGCTGGGAGAACCTGGCAGCCAGGTCTGCTTTGAAATGTTAAATAGGCACCTCAGCCTTTCGACCCAGGTTCGCCGCCTACCAAAGACCTCTACTTCACTTTGCCGTGCCCCACCCACCCCGCGAGTAATTTAAGTGCCGCCTTCAGGCTTTTTCCTCTGCTGTGCTTAAGAGAAATTGTCAGTGAGCCGTGAGGTGGTCGTCTGGACGGTTCTGACGTGCTAGGTTGACTGGGATGTGGGATGCTTAGGTAGCTAAAGTGAGGGTGGGTCTGGAAGAGATTAGCATTTGAAATCTGTAGACTGAATACAGAAGACAGCCTTCAGCCACGGGATGGGTACGTTCAGCCCCGGAGAACGGGACCTAAGAAGAAGAGTGAATACACTCTTCCTAGCTGGAGCATCTTTTTTTTTTTTTTTTTTTTTGCAGGCCTTCAGGCTACACTGGGAATGCCAGCACTTCATGTTTTGTCCTTGTCACTTAAAAACTATCTAATCTGCCTTAGCTGTAGAATGAGCTGAGAGAAGAATCTCTTCTGGTAGTTGCGAGGGCTGAGGGTGTTAATGGCTGTTAAGTAAGAAGACTTCACTAGACCTTAGCCATATAAGGATCTGTCTTTGTTAGGGTTGCCCCCAACTAACTCGTATAACATAATTAATCTGTGTTCTTCCATGTAGTAGCTATTTTACCTCTTTTCCGTTTCTGTACGTTGAACTTTTTCCTTTTTTTAAAAAAAATTTGTTTGTTTGTTTGTTTATTTATTTTGTTTTTTTGAGACAGGGTTTCTCTGTGGCTTTGGAGCCTGTCCTGGAACTAGCTCTTGTAGACCAGAGCTGGTCTCGAACTCACAGAGATCCGCCTGCCTCCCGAGTGCTGGGATTGTTTATTTATTATGTATACATTATTATGTCTGTGTGTATGCCTGCAAGCCAGAAGAGGGCACCAGACCTCATTACAGACGGTTGTGAGCCACCATGTGGTTGCTGGGAATTGAACTCAGGATCTTTGGAAGAGCAGTCAGTGCTCTTAACCTCTGAGCCATCTCTCCAGCCCCCGTTGAACTTTTTCCAAGTCTCCTGGCATCGCCCGTACACCTAGATCCGACTTCCCAGTTTCTCTTTCGCTGCCCAAAAGTCCCACCCATACATACCTCCTGCCTCGCTATTGGCCATTCTGCTTTTTATCACAGCAAACGCAGCAATATATCCTCACACACAGTACAGATATCCCACAGCAGGGAAGCGGAAATAAGAGCCAGACTCAGACACAACCACTGTGTGAGACACAGAACAAACAGACAGGGAAGAGTTAAGCCTTACTGACACCAGTGCCGTGGGAACCCTGCTTGAGCTGCTAAGCCACTTTGAGCTGGTGACCAAATCCACAGCACAACCTGGGAACTCCTCAAGGTCACCTTCACTTCCTGCCTGCTGGAGCTGGATCCCAGTGCGAGTGCTGCATGCTTGATTCCAGACAACTTGAAGGAGGCACCGGATATAACATTTATCCAGCCAGCACTCACTGGGCCTTGCTGCACGGTTGGTGTTATCAATAACTGTTCATAATAAACAATGGCATTTTACCCCGTGTCGAATCAGAGAGGCTCCTCCCTCCTTCACTATCTTCTCTCCATCCTTCCTCCCACCCTCCCCTCTTCCTTTACTTTCTTCTTTCTTTCCTTCCGTCTTTAATCCCTTTCTCCTCTGTAACAAGTCTTTTTCTGTACTGCCAGGCAGCTCCCGAAAACTGACATGGAGACATCTTATTAATTATGAAAGCTTGGCCTATAGCTTAGGCTTGTTTCTAACTTTGGCATTCTTGTATTAAGGATGACCCTTGACTACATCTCTTTCTGTTTGTCTTTGTCTCTGTGCTTGTCTGTATGTTTTTAAGTCTCAAGCTTAGTTCCTGGCTCACACACCTGTCCTGTAGGGGCAAGGGAGCTATAGGACCATCAGGATTTTGCAGAACTGTTTGGGTTTTTACAGTCGTTCATCCCTAGATACCTCCTCCCCTTCCTTCCTCTCCCGGAATCCTAGCTATACCTCCTATCTAGCTATTGGCCATTCAGCTACACCAATCACAGCCATATACCATCACACCGTGTACAAATATCTCACAACACTCCTCCTCCACTTTCTCCTCCTCTTCTACCTCCTTCCTTTTCTACCAGACTTCTCTGTTATAGGATATTTGCACACTGTGAGGATGTATTGTTGTGACTGGTTTAATAAAAAGCTGAGCCGGGCTGTGGTGGCGCATGCCTTTAATCCCAGCACTCGGGAGACAGAGACAGGCTGTCCTACAGAGTGAGTGCCAGCACAGGCTCCAAAGCTACACAGAGAAACCCTGTCTCAAAAAAACAAAAACAATAAATAAAATAAAATAAAAAGCTGAATAACCAATAGCAAGGAAGTGGAGGTTAGGCTATACTTCCAGGAGAGGTTAGGCAGAGAGAGAAACTCAGGGGAATGAATCTAGCGGTTCAGGGGATGCCAACAAGACCCTGGGGAAGTCAGACATACAAGATGGAGGAGATATAATATAAATTAATATAAATGGGTTAATTTAAGTCTTAAGAGC